CCTCGGCAAATCAAAAAATTTTTAAACACTCGTTGCTCCTCTTGATGGTCTACCAAGAGTACTATTGCCAAGAAAACCCTTGCCATTCGAAACCAGCGTTAAATTGTAGATCTCGTATGTATGATTTGCATGCGTACCATGGACATACGTACAAAAGGTACAATGAGCCTTTTGTTGCCATTGAATGAATGAATGATAATATAAATAACTGATAATATAAAAAACATTATAACGGAAGAAATAAACAAAATAATTCTAATCTTTACCATATGTGCAGAGAATCCTAAAGGTGGAATTTCATCGTTGTTATTCAATTTCGAATTTGTTCGCATTTTTGGCGAGAAATCTGAAGTTACCGGTTCAATTGGTGATATCTTCAACGTGATCGATTCTACAAAATCAAAATTATGAGAAGCTGATTTCTGGTGAGCGTCTTCCATTGAAGTATCAAATGCGAACACATTATTTTTCTTTAAGGAGTTACTTTCTGTATATGGTTTTTCACATAAAGATGTTCTGAATATTGATAATTCAGCGGGCGGATTAAATTTATAATTAGAAGGAGCAAACGATTTGTTGACTTCAATTTCGTTATCCGACTTTAGGTTAGGATTTGTCCTGGTCAGAGTTGTAAGCAGTTTTTGTTTTATTTCAGTTTTTGCTATCTTAGCTTGTAGCCGCTTTTCCGTAACTCTTGTAATTCTCTTTATAACATTGGAGTTTTTGTGCTCTTGAGTAACTGGTTTCTTCTTTCTTCCAGATGTCATTGAGTTTGTTGATATCGGGGAATAAATACGATGACGAACGATGCCAACTACAAATGGAGGTTTTTTATTTGATTCTTTTGCTTTCTTTTCTCTTATTTGCTTCTCTTTCCAATTCGTTAATTTTGCTCTAAATTCGTCTGAGACATCAAATATTTCAAATAACGAAATTTTTTATTTAATAAAATAATTTTTATAAATATATGTATGGCAAGCCATTTCACTTTTTAATAGATAAAGAAAATTTTGTCAGTGTAAAACTCTTAAAAACTAATTGTTTAAAAAAGAATTACAGCTCTTATTAATAAATTAAAATTATGTCGTTATAACATTATAATGATTCTATAGATTATAATTATATGTATGTCAAAAGTTTAAAATAATTCCGTGTTTTTATTATGTTTTGATGTGATTCATTATTTTTATATCCCGATATTTTTATTTACAATTAAGAATCGTAATTCTTCTTTAGACTTACTTTTTAAAAGTTTTAAATAAAATTTCCTTCATGCTGTTAAAAAGTAAAAAGTTTACCATAAACATTTTATTGATACACAAAATTCATTTAAATTATTTTAATAGGACTATACCGACAATTTTTTATTTTCCAAGAAATAATAATAAGAATATCAATTTATAGGA